CATAACTTGAACGTCAAAGATGACTACTGTACTAACACCAACTCCAACAGAACGCAGCTGGAGGAAAAGGAAACGTGTGAAGGAAGGCAAGTCATGGAAATTTCACACTGATAAAAGCAAAACGCATTTTGTTTGGAGACATTAATCACCGTGGAATGTCCAGAAAGGAACGCTTCCCACCACAGTTCTGCGCACTCGTATCAGCCGTCGAAATGTTTTTGTACGTTCTAAGATGCCGAAGATGCCTTAGACTCCACAATTTAAACACCATTGGAGGAACACGGCTTCAAGCTCACAGTGAGTTCTGATCAGGGATTGGATAACATCCGTTACTGAAATGCCTACGAGTCATAATTTTAGGGATAACACTATTTATTATCTACACTGATGGACACATGAATAAATCAAGACTAGTAAAATAGTTAATAAAAAGGTCCATAATTAATCCCTAAAATAATTTTACTTTTATAGTTTTCAAAATGGAAACCTTAGCAGCGCAAGAAATACCCTTCTTCTGCTCATCAAAAATTAGGGAGTGAGGTTTCAAATTGCGATGTAGCGCACAGCATATTAAAAAGAAATCCCACAACTCCACAATCACAGCCCATGTACAGTATTTTATGGTACACAAATCTTTGTTTTTAATATTCAAACAGTACTATTTAATGTTTAACCATTTGCTAGCAACTTCTTTTGCAATTCAAAGTTTTTTGGCTAATCGTTGTAACTTCCTGAATATTTTAAGCTAGCTTTTGTAGGCTAATATTCAGCTATTAATATTTTAATTTTGAGGTTGTTTTTTTTTTTTTTTGCTAACTATATGTCTTAAGGTAAGACTTGAGGATATATGGTAAGACAAAAAGGAACTATTTGATTACTTTACACATGATAAACAATTACTTGTGAAGTAATATGTCCTACGTAGCAAAAACATAGAAACTGTATGAGCTTGCTACACAAATTCCACTAAAAGCTCCCAAATTTACACAGAAACAACATCAAACACATTTGCTGGCAACTGTAAAAGCTCCCAAATTTACACAAAAACAACATCAAACACATTTGCTGGCAACACATTTGAAACTTCTTAAATTGTTTTGCGAAAGTGTTGAGGTGCTAGCGCGTACCTGCGACTCTATCCCAGTTCTTCATATTCTCCTCTTTGATGCTTGCCTTCAACTGGATTTCAAACCGCCTAGAGAACCCTTCCTTGGGTTTCCAGAGTGACTGTAACACCAGGGGTCTCTCTGTGTCCCCTACGACCCTGAAACACTTCCTCTTCCAGTGGTTATCAGAGCTGGTCTGGCCAATCACATCACAGAGCACATAGTCATTGGGGTTCTCCTTTTCCAGACAGTACCTGAATGCCATAGGTTCAATAAATCCTGTCAATAGTTCTAATAACATAAAAGCCAGATTACATTTAGCTTAATTCGCTGTATATTTAAGATCCAATCTTGGTCATTTTGGTTAAGTCTGAAAGACTGGCTAACATATTCCTTGAAATGTGCCTCTCACCTGTTCAGTGCTTCGTTAACAAGTTCCTTTGCAGAAGAATGCGAGGTGGCCAGCACACTCTTGTAGTTGGTCCCGTGACAAATGTCACTGCCGAAGATTTTCAAGATGCCAGGGACAGACTTTTGAGTGGAAACGCTTTCAGGGTTATCTGCTGCGCCATGAAGGTCTCCAGCGAGGCTTCTGCAACCCTTTGACTGGCCACGTGCTTCAGAAGTTCTTAGGTTTGGGCTATAGTGGAAGACACTTGAAAGCCTGTTGTTGTGGTGGCGGCGAATCTTACTTTTGGCCGGCTGGCGGACAACCTTACTCTCCGTCGGCCGCATGTCGGTATTCAAGATTTTGGATCTAAAAGAGAAAATGTAAGGATGGTTATTAAATATAATGACAAGAAATGCTTGTGAAACTGATTAGTTAATTTACCATTATAGCGTAATATACCAATTGGAGTATATGGTATATTAATACATCACAGCATGGCGAGGCTCAGTTTTAAGTTGAAGTTTTTGGGTCACAATTCAGTCCCTGGTACCAAGTTGCAAAACTTCTGATTAAATAATATGAGTAGTTTGTAACATGAGACCCTGTATAGCCAGTTATATCATTGGCATAATGATGAATTAATATGGAAGGATATTACTAAGAAATAATTACTTTTAATACTGTACTAGCAAATTCAAAATGTCGTTGGTTTATTGGGAATAGCATTGCTAGCAGCACCTCAGACGTTAATTTCAAGTAAATAAAAAAGCTAAATATTCGCGTTAGGTGTTGAAATAACGAAATTTCTAGACGTGTTGCTGTAGATAAAGAACAAAACACAGAATCACTCTCAAATTAAATTAGCATTTTGTCTACAGGTAAGTATTGCTAGCACATTCTTTTTACAAACTTTTTTTTAACAATATGTCACTTTACCAATTGCGAACACACCGTAAACCAAGAACTCCCAATTATAGTGTTGAGAAAGGTTTTTTTTTTTTTGTTTGTTTGTTTTTTTGTAAATTTGAATGTACTTACTGAAGAGCTCCATTGCTGGGCTTCCTGCTCAGTTTAGCTTGTAGCCTCTCCTTCGGAGAACGGAGAAGTAAACCCACTGGAAAGTTCGACGCTTGTTTATTAGCGTGGCTGACTCTATCCCCTGAAATCATGGTCGAGTTTAACTTCACACAAATACAAGCTGTGCAGTTTCACACAGGTACACTTAAAACAAGGATGCAACATCCATCAGAGTTGGGCGGGTTTCAAAGGAACAGGTCTCTCCACCTTCGCTTCTCCTAAACGAAATTAATTATTTAATTGTGCAAAGTGTTCGAGGGCGCCTTCACATTCTGTCGCACACGCTATTTTTGAAGCCACCACACGGTTTACACCGACATTGAAAGAACAAAGTTACAAAAAAAAAAAAAAAAGGACTCCGACGTACAAACCGTTTAACGACTGAGTTAATCCAAAAGAGAAAAACGAAGAAGAAAAAAAACCGTTGACCTCTACGTTATTCTATTTTAACAGGACAATTCTGTTGTGGCATTCGTCCCAACGCAGCTGTTAACTGTAGTACTAACTGTGACTAACTCTGTGTGACACGCACGCTCTCCCTCTCTCCCTCCCTCTCTCTCTCCCTCCCTCTCTCTCTCTCTCTCTCTCTCCCTCACGCACATCCTGAGACAGCTGTCACTGCAGGATTCATCCGCTTGACGAATAAAGAGGACGAACCATGCTGATTTGTACGGCAGACAGAGCTTGTTTTTGATCATTAAATTTTAAAAGGAAAAAAAAAATAATCTCAGTGTTTAGTCCTTTATCATTTTTTTCTAGCATATCGGTGCTGTTGTTCACCTTCACATAAAAACCTGCACATTTCGTGGCCCAATCAAGTATTTGTCCGATCCTGTCCATCCGCAGTCACATTAGATTTGCACAGAATGAGCCCCATCTAGTGGTATTTAGTAGAAATGCAATAATAATTAATAGTAATTTTTTTAAATAGTAAAAATAAAAGACATTCTTCAAAAAAAAAAAAGTAAGAATAATTTATAACCAACTCTAAAATTTATTTTATTATTATTTATTATTATTTTTTATTTATTTAAAAACACGTGTGTTTTGAAATACCTCTTTGTGTAAGCTTGTGTCGAACAAAACGCTAAAAACACAACACTTTAACTTCTAATAAAATTCGTTTTAATTTAAAATATTCCTTTATTTTGTCCGGTTGAAGACATTATAAATAACTTTTTTAAATAAATAAGTATAATTCACAGTGTTTATTGATGTGTTGATTTGAAACAACAGCTCTAAACGTGTCGACGCGAGGTTTTCGGCAATAGTCCTGTCTACCAAAAGGGGGGGCTAAAGAAATACGTAGAGGACAGTCAGATGAATGGAGGAGGACCATCTGAGGAAGCGGGAGGGAACAGCGACATGAAGAAGGTCTGAGATGTATGGTGGAGCAGAGTTGTGGATGGCGTTGAGTGTGAGCAGAAGGATCTTGTAGTTAATACGGATCTTGATCGGGAGCTAGTGAAGCTGTTGCAGGACAGGAGTGATGTGGTGGATGGAAGGGGTTCTAGTAATGATGCGGGCGGCTGAGTTCTGGACCGATTGGAGCTTATGAAGAGACTTGTGGGTGAGACCAAAGAGGAGGGAGTTGCAGTAGTCAAGGCCGGGAGGTGACGAGGCTGTGAACCAGGATGGAAGTGGTATGGGGAGTGAGGGAGGGGCGGAGGCGGTTGATATTGCGTAAGTGGAAATAGGTGGATCGGGTGATGTTGTTGATATGAGATAGTGAAAAGATAGTGTGCCGTCGAGGATGACACCCAGACTCTTAATCTGTGGGGAGAGGGAAATGGGGCAATTGTCAACATCAAATGAGAAACTGTTGGTTTTGGATAATGTTGATGAGGAGAACCTCCGTTTTGTTACTGTTTCGTTTAAGAAAATTTGTTGGTGAACCAGGATTTAATTTCAGGTTGGAGTCGGGTATGCTGGCTAGGTAGAGCTGGGTGTCATCGGCGTAGCAGTGAAAGTTTGTGGAGTGTTTACGGAAGGGGGAGAAGATAGATGATGAACAGAAGGGGACCCAGGACAGAGCCCTGGGGCACACCTGAATTGACAGAAGAGGGCTGGGGATGTGAAGGTTTTTAAGCTGGATGAACTGGAGTGCGACACGACAGGTGATGATTTAAACCAGTTTAGACAGGGGTCTGAGTGAAACCAAGGGCAGAGAGTCTATTGAGGAGGGTGGGATGACAAATGGCGTCAAAAAGCTGCAGTTAGGTCAAGGAGCATGAGGATGGAGAGTAAATCAGAATCAGCTGAAAATTAAATAAAAATAAAATCTGATCTGATAACAACAGCAACCGAGACACCAGTATCATTTAACTGCATGAGAGAATCATCCGTACGACTTGACATTTTTAAACATCGATGTGAAAAAGGAAACAAGTGATGGCCCCATCAGTACAACTGCCATGCATGATTATATTTTATAACAAACGTCAATTAAGTTGTGGAATAAATCAGATAATACATTAATAAATATATTTAAAAATAATCACGGGCACTTGAGAACTACTTATTTGACACGGACTTCCTGAACAATTGAATCAAGCGAAAGTGAATTATTTATCATTGGGACAATGATGGAGCTTAAGCGCCTCCAGTGGCAACTGGTGGAATGGAACCTGAAACCTTCCGGACCCAAGTCCGCTTCCTTAACCACCAAGCCATCGCTGCTAAAAATGAGTTCAAATAATAATAATAATAGTAAAATAAATAAAATAATAGTAGACACTCTTCTTACTATTGTCATTGACCCCCATTTTTTTAGAACATTTTTTAGAACTTTTTTTTTTTTTGGAACAAAAACCTGCAGCCACACGGCCCTTTGAGGAACAGTTTGACTTAGGTCATTGTCTCTCAAACCCTCAGGTGGGTGGCAAGAGATTTTTTTTTTTTGGGGGGGGGTCATCTCGCATCATGTTTCCCAGGAGTTCACGGTCATCGCAAAACAGCTGTCTGCATCCAACCTCAAAATAGCTTCCAGTTTGAACAAACTTAACTCCGACTTCTAGTCTTAGTCTTAATCCTAAATCCTTGATCTCTTATTGCAGATTTTTAGTGACGTTTCTTATGTGTTTTTTAAGCGAATGCTAATCGTTAATAACAAATATTCTATATTGAGTCTATTTTTTGCACTTTAAAATCCGTATCCCTCCAGTAAGAGAGAGATTTCAAAACACACCAGCAGAGAAAAAAGACACAAAGTCAAGCAAAGGGCAGGAAGTAGAAATGGTATTTGAAACACATCTAAGAGCCAGACTTTGCTTCTGCAACCATTTAAACACACGTTGTGCTCAGTTATTGACACTAAATAAGGGGTCTCTACATTGTTTTAAAAAAAAAAAAAAAAAAAAGATGAAATGGTTTACATCTACCTCTTTCTCTCTCACACGCGGACAGCAGTGTTGTGGTGCGTTACAAGCTCAAAAGTGGTTGTCACGCTCAAGTTCATATTGCAGCTGCAAGAGTGGTTTTGAAGGCGGCAGAATTGAGGTGACACATGCATGTGCATTTTCTGCCTTGTCTACTCTCCTTGTCTCTCACCGTTTCCTGAATGATTCAAAGACAACAAAAAAAAAAAATACATCAAATTCTTTTCACCAGCCGTAGCTATTGCCACATATTATTTTTTTTTATATTTTTTTTTGTAAAAGTACACTCCTCGGTTCCATAAGTTGATACATATTGTAAAAATAAAAACTTTAAAAGCATTTGTAGTTTGGTAAGTCACTTAAACTTTTAAAGTTTCAGTGAGAGAAAAATATGTTAGAAGTAGCTAAACCAGGCATGGGCAAAACTAAGGCCCAGGGGTCGGATGCGGCCCGTTCAGCTTTTTAATCCGGCCCACCAAACTTTTCCAAATGATATAATGTATTTATATTATCACATACCCACGTTTCCCAAATAGATAGAAGCATTTTAGCATTTTAGCCATTATGAATGGCTTTTACATGTCATCCTGAACTTAACCTTAAGTGGGCCAGACCAGTATAATCATACAAACAAAATTAAATATAAATAACAATAAATCCGTGTTTTTTTTTCACTTTGTTTTTATGCAACGATATACAGGTATATTAAGAAAAAAATAATAATTTAATGAATTATTTGACAAATCATCACTAACATGCATTGTTCAAGCGGACCACATTGAACCCCTGAGCGGGCCACTTTTTGGCCCGCAGGCTGTATGTTTGACAAGTATATTCGAAAATATTCATATTTAATGATATATATATATAATTAAAGTGTTTGTGCAGTTTTTCAACTTGTTTAACATGTTTTACATCCCTGGTTTAGTTATTTGAAGCATTGCTAACCCAAAGGAGGAGTTAAAGGGATAGTGACAGCCATTATTTGCAGTCGAAAACAAAGAAAGAAAACTGAAGCTGAATCCCCTATTATTTTATCTTTTATTATTAATATTATTTTCAACAAAATTTGTGTTCGGAATGAGAAAGACGTGAAGGCACGACCTTCATGTGGTTTCTCGTGAGACAGTTTTTTTTTAGAACGTTTTAAGCGGTTGTCTTCTCTTTGTCTTAAAATTTCAGTAGTAACACGTTAGCACATTAGCTTTTTTGTTTTTTACACTGTGCACCAACTCTTTTTGTTGGAAACTGTTCATTTTAAAATTAAAATGATAAGAGTTTGAAACCCTTAAGAAAACACTTTCCATTATTATGCTCTTATTTTGAAATTTTTTTTTTGGTGCTACGCTCCTCAGAAAGGAGGTCCTTTCATGTCATAGCAGAGAGGCAGAGCTGCCTCCTCATCCAGTGTGATGAGAACCTGTTTGACAAACATGTTTCAGCTGCTGGAAATGTAACTTTGTTTCATGCAAAACATTTGGACCTTGGAATATGTTCACCTTACCCGTTCGTTGCCCCCTGACACAGTATAGAGCTGGTTCTTCAGTCTTTTTAGAACTCTCTCTGTCTTTCTCTCTCTCTATCTCTCTATCTCTCTAGTTTCAGGTTATGCGTTGCGTGTGTGCTCGTACTTCCGCTTTGCGCATCAGAAAGGAAGCCATGAGTGTGTACTGATGGAGGTGTGGGGGGGGAGGGGGGGTATTATTGTAAAATAATGCTTCGAGACATTTCAAGTGCATAAATGGTGAATTCTGCACACTGTATAGAAATATATTATAAGAGCGTTACATCGTCATAGCCATTCATGGGCCCAGCCCGTGTAGGATGAAGTCAAGCAGGTTTTACTGATAACCTGCACTGAGGAAAATAACTGAGCCAATCATCAATGCAGCTCAGTCAATGTACCTGGTTACTGTGGTTACTGCGGCTACTGTTGCTGTGACTCCAGCATCTTGTACCTCACCGGGGGTCACTCGGGGTCAACTCATCTTGGTTCAGGGGGCCGCGTACAGCCTGATGAGATGTCATGTGGGCCGGACCAGTGCAATCGTGACCTATAAATCACCTATAAATTACAATCAATTCTTTGTTTTTGTTCTTTGTTTTCATGCAAAGAAGTACAGGGATATTAGAAAGCAATAAAAAATATATAAAATATAAATAAATAAAATATATTAAATATATGTATGTGTA